AAAAAAAAAAAAAAAAAAAAAAAAAAAAAAAAAAAAAAAAGTAAATTTTAACATTACATATAGTTCTTCTCGCATCAAGTCAATGAGACCCACAATCAACGCGTTTTCTTGCCTCATATAAAACAAGAAGGAAATATATAATGTCAATGACTGTCTCTCAACGTTCAAAATTTTCAATTTGTTTGGTATCCTGTGAGAATTAAGATGTGATCGTGCATCCAATCTTGAGATGAGACCCACAAAATGTAGACAAAAAAAGGAAGATAAATGATATACTGGAATAACAATACTAGGTATTATACAATATACAGGGGTCGTTTACCTAAACACTTGCCCGGTAAACAATTACCGATAAAATTCAACATTATCGCTTACTTCCGGGTATGATTTTATTCGCTAAAACACAACGTATGCAACAATTTATCCCGGCAAGTGCTAACCATGGTAATAGCCATCGTCCTCACTTACCGGATAAGACTCTCAATTCTTGTCTACTTTTAATGATCACCAAGAAGATCGAGTTGGAGGTTGAAAATCGATTGACGACACCGTCCCTGCAAAAAAAATAAAAAAAAATAAACCAAGAAAACACAACGGTTGGAAATCGATTAAAACCAAGAAGATCGAGTAAGAGGGTTGAAGAAGATAGGTCAAGTGTGAAGAGATGGAGAGAGATGACAGCGTAGGAAGGAGATTGATGGGAGGAGATCGGTTGTACACGACGGTTGGAGGTGGCGGTGGCGTTCAATGGAGATGGAGGGCAAATCCTTCTCATTTTATGTTTTAGTCTAATTTTACATAACGTTTAAGAGCACCCCCTTAGCTTTTTACTCCATTCTTTTTCATTCTAATTATTTACCAAACAACAATTTTTCATTCTACTTTTGATAACTCTGCACCAAATTATTCAGCAACCACCAACAGCCCCTTACTCGGCACCAATATCCTCCTCCCGTTGTCAAATACTCCGTAAATGCAAACACAATTAATAAATTAATATTTACTAATCTCAAAAAGTTAATGAATTAAAGAGCATGAAACTCTACGATACATATTAATTTTGCACTGGAATACACACTTCCTATCGAGGCTCTAACATCGTTATAGTGGCTTCATCGACCTCTGCTAAAAAGGGGGGGTTGGGATTAGGCAAGCCTTCTCCAACAAAGAAAGCAGGTTGTTTAGGTGGATGTAATGCACCATCACCACTCAACATCGTAACCACTGACGACATTGTTGGTCTATCTTGTGCAAGATTCTGCACGCACAATAGACCAACATGTATTGTTCGTTCTACCTCTGAGACTATGCACGAGTTGCTTAAAGATGGACACATAAGCTCAAGGCACTTGCCTTCTGTATGGAGTCTCCATGCCTGAATGAAACCGATATCTATGATTAAAAGTGTAGTTTTCTGCATTGTCTAAATAAATGAAATATTTTCCTTTCGGGAAATTTTCAATCTAAGTTTATTTTTTAACACATTAGCGATAACTCAACAGATTTAATAACTAAGCCATCAAATTTACTTACATGTCCAAGAAGGTTATCATTCACATCTTCACAGTAAAATTCTCTGTTTTTCTTCCCACTCACCATCTCCAGCACCAAAACACCAAAACTGAACACATCCGATTTTACAGAGATACGCCCATGAACTGCATACTCGGGTGAAATATATCCGCTGACAAAACAAAAAAGGATGACAGATAAGCACCATAAATAATCACATGTTATATAGTTCATAAATTACTTACTATGTTCCAACCACTTTCTTTGTCTTGGCTGTAATCTGGTCTCCTCCAAACTCTCTAGCAAGCCCAAAATCTGATATTTTTGGGTTCATGTTGCCATCCAGCAAAATATTGCTTGCCTTGAGATCTCTGTGGATGATTCGATGGCGGGAATCTTGATGTAGATAAAGAATACCTTTAGCAATTCCATGGATAATGTGGAAGCGCAGAGGCCATTCGAGCATAGAACTTTTGGTTTCATCTGCCAATATAACAATTGAGATAGGACACACAAAATGCGGGATGAAAAACGAAGGTAAATAACTAAATACTTGAATAGCATTACTATTCAATGCGCATTAGAAACATGATGAAAGAGTCGAACCAAATAGATATAAGTCCAAACTTTTGTTAGGCAGGTATTCATAAATCAGGATCCTTTCATCTTCATCCATGCAGTATCCAATAAGCTTCACAAGATTCCGATGCTGAAGTCTGGCAGCACAAACTACTTCATTGTAGAACTCGCCGTACCCCTGTTCAGAAGTTGCTGAAAGTTTCTTCACAGCTATTTCTTGCCCGCTTTCCAAAACTCCCTAAAGATTATGATCTGTCATATGAGCTTTAGGGGGTGCTTGGTTCATTTCAGACAGTGGAATTAGGAATTAGAATGATGGGAAATTGGAATGTGAATGGGTTTCATTCCCCAAGGAGCGTTTGGTTTGATGGAATGGTTTTGAGAGATTTGTGGTTTCATGGAAGGATTTAAAATCTTTGGTGTGTTTGGTTTGTAGGATTTGGAATGGAATTGAATTTCATTCTTTATAAATAGTTTATTAAAACAAATTATAAATAATTATAAAAATAATTAAATTACCTTTTTATTAATTGATTATTAGAAAACAATTGTTTTTAAACATTATTATATACAAATCCTACGAAATCCCATGAAATCCCCGTGGGATTTCAAAATCCTATGTTTGAGGGATTTCAATAAAATCCTAGGATTTCAAATCCGGACAATCCTGCAAACCAAACACTGGATTGGAATGGATTTGAAATCCAAATCCCCCCAATCCATTCCATTCCTGCAAACCAGACAGACGATTTGGATTTCATGGAGGGATTTGGATTGGAATGAATTTGAAATCATTGGGGTGTTTGATTTGTAGAATTTGTAATGGAATTGGATTCCATTATTTATAAAATAAATTATGAATAATTATAAAAATAATTAAGTTACATTTTTATTAATCGATTATTGCAAAAAAATGTTAAACAATTTTTAAAACCTTATTTCATAAAATCCTACGAAATCCCGAGCACCCCTAAAGTTTGTTGAGAAAGCTTCACTACCCAGTATCTGGTAATGCATTCTTTTGCATCAAACCAGACACCATTAAAGATTTTCGTTTCCATTCCCTAGCCGCAACCCTCGTATTTTTCTGTTGAACCGGATGAACTATATTTCTACTTACTCAATTTATCAATACCACTCATGTTAAACTAGGTGGCAAGTCCAAATCAAACCAACCCAAACAGACTCGGTATATCCCACCCAAAGGTGGGTGTGGGTAAGTGGCAAGTCAACAATGCATTTATTTTGAGACAGAGGAAATATTTTCTCAATGTTATACATTGTCTTCATGATACAACTTTGCTTTTTAACATAGATGTGCATGCAACAAGTTACCTTGTAAACTGGACCGAAGCCACCTTCACCGAGCTTATTGTCAATGGAGAAGTTATTGGTGGCTTTAATTATTTCAGATAAGCTAATAAAGTTCAGATCTAGACCATCCTTCTCTACATCGAAGTGTCGTGTATCAAAGGTGTGTACCCTACGACCTACAAAGTGATATGTAGAACTATTATAAACACAAGTTAGGTAACTGTATACTCATCTGCTTGATTTACATGATTTATTTGTTAAAACCTGGAAGTGAGTCATTTGCCTTACCTCTTCCTTTAGCGAAAGACCTTTTCGTTTTCATGTTACATACATATGCTGTTAACGACACGCCCAGCAAGACAAAGAAAATTGACAAGGTGATGGCGAGGACTCCAATCTTCTTGTTGAAACCAGTTTGGGAGACCATATGGACTTCATCTGCAACAAGTTTAGCAGTAAGCTGAAACTGAACTTTGGGACAATCTGCTTCCCTTGTTAAAATTTACTAATGTCATTTCTATATTTTAGCAAAGCTACAAATACCAGAGTTGGAGCGACAAACAGATTTAAAAACATGATATGCCTTTGCAACATAGAATCTGAGATATATACAACACAATCTTGATAAGATGTGGGCTATAAAAACAGTGTATCAATCTTGATCCTTTGTATGCTCAAAAGGTCCATAAAGAAAATTGCTATTTGTGGAGTACATGGAAATGAACATATGAACACAATTAAAGAGAAACAAGTGGTTTTTACGGACTCAAGTTCATCGATTAACTTGCAAAAAATCAAGATTAGAATGAACTTTTTGTGAAGAAATGTGTTTACCTTTTAGTAGAGAGGTGGGCATTCTTATGTAAAGATCTTGACTCTCTACACAAACCATAAGATCCATCAGTTCACCAAACCATAATAAGCATCCACTCCCTCCATTTCTGATATCTAAATTTGCGTAAGCGGTGCAAGAGCAATTTTCCCTGCAGGCTATCTCACACTCACGGAGAGTCATGCTATGATTGTACCATGATTGTCGTGTGTCAGGAAATTTCATTCCTCTGATTTGCAAAAAGACTTCTGGGGCCTGACAATCGAAAGGAGTTTTGAATTGACATCCACTAGACCAATCTGCCATGGTCCATTCATCTGGGCGTTTTGGTTCAAAACCATCCATACAACTACAAGGAGGATTTTTGTTGATGTCACAGGTTCCATAAGGACCACAGATTCCATAGCGACCGCAAGAATCTACTAGACCAGTTGCATACACAAACCAATCCTGGCTACGATTGCTCCAATTCAATATTTCTATGCTGCCATCCCACTTCAAATATATCATCTGAACAACTGAACTAATAAGCTCGTATTTATAATATATTTCTTTCTGGTTAAAAACATATTCAGTGGAGTAAATTGGATTTGAAATCTCATTAGGCAGACCACTAAACCTGATACCATTCCATGGTCCAAACCTTAACTGTAAGACTGAACCTTGCTTCATAAGTATTTGTGGATATCCATGTGTATCCATATATTCTACATACCGACCTGGAGAAGGATCGTTGGGACTCTTCCATGATGTCAAGTTCCTGTTAATGCCTGTTACAAAATCCTTACCAAATTTCATTCCGGGTAGAAAGGTGTCACCAGGATAATCAAAACTTTGCCAAATGAAATTTGTCTCATCAGAATTGTTTCCATCCTTGACAACAAAATTACCAGTATCTAAGAGTTGTGCCATTGGATTAATATACCTGACAAATGCCGCAGAAGTGGATGACCAGATTATGGTATCACCACAGCAAGAAAGCAGCAGGAGTCCCTCACTAGTGACTTTGAAGGCGCCTGATGTATTGGATAATGGCAAGTCTCTGTTAGCAACCCACACCACTGTACCCGTTGCTATCTTCTTGTACCATATCCCCAAGTAACGATTGTTGGAGTTAGCAGGGCTAAAGAATCCCATTTCATACATTTCTCCAGCTGAAACAATGGTCTCACCATCTTTGATTACTTGATTAGCAGCTATGCTGTCTACTGCAGCAGAAGGTGACAGAAGCAAGAATAAAGCAACGGAAATCAATGAACTTGTGAAAGGGTCTTTCATCGACGGGATACTCACTTTTGATAACTAAACTGTTTTTTCTTCAAGAAAAAGAAAGCCCAGGATGGGAGGAAAGACTTCAAATAATTGTGATAGTGATGTCATTTCAATGCAACAAAGACATCCAACTATTAAGTGGATTTGCATTACAGAAAGCGACTTGGAAATTTAATGACTTCAAAACTTGAAAAGTAAACATCTACCGGGTTTCATGAACCAAAATTAGTATTTCCATGTAGCTTGTAGAACCCGCATCGTAAACATGTGCTAGAAAGCTATGATCCGTTGTTCTAAATTCGATCAACAAAATAGGGGTAACGAAATGAAATGCCCTAGAGGATTAACCCTAATTTTTTCTATTAGCTTAACCATCAAAATCAAACTCGAATTCAAATTCACATCCCAGAACATCAGTAACAAAGTAAAATTAACAACAACGAAGATAAAGAAAACAAAATTACAATTCAAATATCTACCGAATTTTGACGATTTCTAGAAAGAGACGGACGTTTAATACCTTCGACTGGTTCCTGCGTCTTACTCAACGTCAACACTGTCGTCTTTCAGATAAATGCAAACAAAATTAATTTTTATTGAAGAGTAAATTACATTTTTTGTCCTTGTGGTTTGTTACAAGTTGCAATTTCCGTTCCCGTGATTGAGAATTGTGATTTTTGTTCGTATGGTTTGTAATTCGTTGTTATTTTCATCCTCGTGATTTACATATTATTGTTTCGTCGTTTTAGCCCCTTATATTTAAAGATAGAATTTAGTCTAAAGACGAAAATAGTAGCAACTGCAAATCATAAAGACGAAAAATGCAATTTCTTAACCACAAGGATGAAAAACATAATTCTTTAACAAACCACATGGATTAAAATCATAATTTACTCTTGATTTAGGGGGTGTTTGGGATTGATTATTTGAAACAATTTTTTTTTATAAAAATGTTTATCAACTTATTATAAGTTATAATTATCTAACTTCTTCAAAAACTTCTTATTACCGATTTGGCACCGGTATAAACTGTTTATCCAAACACTCAAAAATGCTTATTACCGGTGTCACACCAGAATAAGTCAATAAGTTGTTTTCATAAGTAATCTCAAACACCCCCTTAATAATAAGGTCTTCGTCCTGGCATGGTTCCGATACGAACCTAAAATGAGTTATCATCCACAACCTGATGCATTATATATTTATCAGGAATATAGTTGTGTTTTATTTTTTATAAATGTATGATTTATGATGAATGACACGTCACATTTATCATCAATGTATGATTTATGATTAATATCACTTACCTATTTATTATGAATAAATGTGTTATTCATGATAAATATTCATCACGAAGATAATATGTGGCGTGCTATGGACGATATTGTGGGTTCGTAACCAATTTTGGATTTCTAGCAAAACTTCCATCTTCCTCTTTTTATTTCTTGATTTCATTTACTGAAAAATATATTTATAATACAGGTTTAATTCCATTTTATTTCCTTCCAAAAACAAATTGTTAACATGAATATTCAACCCGTTATACGAACCGACTAATTTCAGGAATGTCATATGCTTTGCGGATAGTCTAGAGGCACCGTATTTGAACATCTGTGGTTATAAGAGAATTTTTATTTCTTCTTGAATTTAAACTTGAGACATTCAGATATTTTTTACATTTAGAATCAAACTTAAACCAATAAGATATCATTCTGATGGTTACAATTTGATCTCATATGGATAAGAAATGAAAAGGTAAGCATTGTTTTATATAGAATCTTGACATGTGATGAAATCTAAATTGGATAACCAAAGATATGTTAATAAAATGCATCATGACCCACTCGATATCCCTTCACTTATGTTATCAAATTTTAACTTAATATTTCTTTAGGGGGTGGCTAATGGCACCCCTATTATGTGCTAATGCCAYCCCTAAKTAGGTTTCAATCATTTGCATTTTATAAATTTTTGTGTTTTTTTGTTTTTTTGTGATGATTACTTTTTATTTTATTATTAATTAAAGAAAATTTAAATTAATATATATTATTTATTTAATTTCCTGTTTTATTTAT